GATCTGGTGCCTGAACAGCCTCTCACTGTTTGAGGGTAAGTGCTGCGGCAAGGGGAGACGCGGAGGGGCCGGAGAAGTCTCCGGAGCTTCAGATCCTGACTGTGGACTTGTCACTCATTCTTCATGTTTGTTTGGGCTTTGTCCTGGAGACTAGCTGGGGGTTGACAAATCCTCGTGTGTGCTTTCTTCTCACGGACCTGAAAAACCTGATGACCAGGAGACGGACAGAGACACGTGCACTCTGCACGGGCTCAGATGAGGTCTGGGCCCACTGGGGCCTACTGTCCAGCAGTGGGGAGCAATCAGACCTTCCCCTTCAAGGTGGGTGGTGGTTGGGGCATGAGGCACTAACCTTTCCCCTGTGGGTGCCCGGATGGGGGACACACACATGCACACGCACGTGCCCACATGTGTGCACGCACTGTCACAACACAGGATTCACGTATGCTCGCTCCAGTTTTGAGAGAATCCATGTCCAGATCTTCTATTTTCTTAAAATATATCTGTCAGAGAACAAGCCTCTGGTTCTTCTTTCCCACCTCCCCTTTAATAATCACCTGTCCACTTGAGGAAGCTACAGCTCAAATGGTAGAGAGCATGCTTAGCATGCATGAGGTCCTGGGTTCAATCCCCAGTACCTCCTCTAAAAATAAAGAAATATACCTAATTACCTTCCCCTACCAAAAACAACAACAACAACAACAAAAAACCCAGACAGAAAAATAATAATCCCCTGCCCACCACTTTTGGCAGGAAAAAGTGCCAAACATCTCTCCCCTTTTCTGAGTTTTGTTTGTTTGCGGGGGGGGGAGGTAATTAGGTTTATTTATTTACTTATTTATTATAGTGGAGGTACTGGAGATTGAACCCAGAACCTCGTGCTTGCTAAGCACGTGCTCTACCACTGAGCTGTACCCTCCCTCCTTTCTGAGTTTTAATATGGTACACTGCCCTGGGATGTAAAAATCTCCCGGGTGCTGGACAGAGGGGCCCATCATGGCGGCTAGGCCTCTGCTGACAAGGCCCCGGGAGCAGGACAGAGAGAGCATCGGTAGACACTGACTGGAGATGTTTCCTCCAGGCCACACAAACCCAGGATGGTGAGGCGCCAAGCCTTATCTAGCTGTCCCGCTGGAGTGTGACAGTCTACTATTAATCTATAACTGAGAATTCATAAATGAGATGGTTGTCTCAGGGATGGGTATCAACACATTTATTTCAATAAAAAAAATGGAGCCAACAGTTTAATATCTCTCTTACAGACAACCAGTCTGATTTGTTTGATTGATTTGGCAAATGAGGACTGGCTTTGCCCCTTAGCCTCTAGCATGGACATTTCCCATAAACTGAATGAACTCAATCTGCAGCCCTAAGGATTTGGATGACAATATAGTTAAAAAAAAATACAAGAATGCTAGAAATCACATCCTTTGCCCCTATTTAAACTGACGATAAAAACATTTTAGATGTCAGCCAAAAATGTGTGAAGGGGTACACAGTTCTACAAACTTCTTTAATAGGCACCGAGCAAAAGAGTTAGTAGATCATGATAGATCATGGTTTTTTTCCAATTACTCCTATCTCCGAGCTGAGGCCGGCAGCTGGTGCTGCTCTCCCAGTCATATTTGTAGCCAAAGAGAGTCTCTCGGCTCAATACCCACAACCTTCTAGACTGAACAGATAATGGTAGCTGAGTCAACATTTCCATGCCCTGCTTCTTACCGTGGTGAGCAGGATTACTACTACAAGGCCCCTGATAAGTGAGCTGCAGGGAGGGAGAAGTTTGTGTGTATGAGAGTGAGCGAGCATGTGAATGCAAGGATGTGTTTATGAGTGTGTGGTGGGGAGGTGTGTGTGTGAGTGTGTGTGTTTGAGACTGGATGAAGGGAAGGGTCTTCTCTGCAGAGGCAGCCCAAAAAGGCGTGTGGAAAGGACAGTGGGCTTGGAGGCCAGATGACCAGGCTTGTCCTGGGTGACCTCAGGTCAGTCTTTTCACCTTTCTGGGTCACTGTGCAAAGGCCCTGAGACCCACTCTGCTGTCTGTCCGCAGGGCTGCAGAATAGAGGAAACTGATGACTCAGAGGGCTCATCAAGCTATAAGAGTGGGGTGGAAGGTGGGTGGAAGCAGTGGTCAGACAACCCTCCCCCGCCACCACCACGGGACCGAGAAGCTACTAGACTCCGTTAATTGATTTACAGTATTTAACAAACACTGATGTGACCCTGACCATGTGCCACTATTCTAAGTGCTTTGTAACATTAACTCATTTAATCTTCACAACAAGCCCTCGAGCCAGGGATTATTATTATGCCCATTTTACGGATGACGTACCTGAGGCACAGAGAGGCTGTGGGGCTTGCTGAAGGTCATACAGCTAGTAAGTCACAGAGTTGGGATTCAAATCCAGGTAGCTGCCTATAGCGTCCTTCCCTTAGCCCTGTGCTCCTTAATTACTCCCACCTTGTGACAGAAATGTGAATCTGGAGATGCTGGGAGTGAAGGGGTGCCTGCCTTCCCCCTGGGTGTAGGCTTCTCCACCCCAGGAGATCTGCAGGTTTAAGGTGTTTATAACCTATAAAGGATTCTTGCCCCAAGTCTCATAAAAGCATTAGAAGATTTGGGGAAATATTTTATAATCTTTAGGTAAAGTAGATATGCATTAACAAGACACGAAATAACCTCCCCTGAAGAAGACTGATAAATTTGACTACCTCAAAGCTAAATTCTTCTGTATGATGGTGATTGAAATTATAAAAGCAATTAGCAATAGTAACAGGTAACTTTGTTGAGTATTTACATAAAGCGTATCACTGCCTTTTAGATGCTTTATTTTAGGACTATTAATATCTTACTGTGCAGTTGATAAAAGGGGAACGGGAGAGTTAAGGAATTTGCCCAAGGTCACACAGCTAGGAAGTGGTGGGGTCAGGATGTGAGCCTAGGTATTTAGTCGCAGAATTTGCGTTTTATTTTATTTTAAAACTTTTTTTGGGGGGGAGGTAATTTGGTTTATTTATTTATAATATTTTTTAAAAGGAGGTACTGGGGATTGAACCTAGGGTCTTGTGCATGCTGAGCATGCGCTCTGTCACTGAGCTATACCCTCCCACCTCCGAATTTGCATTTTAAATCCTTAAAACAAATATAAAGGACTGGGAGAAATTATTAACAAACAGCCCAATTGAAAAATGGGCAGATGTGAACCCAGGAACTGCTGCTCAGCCTTACTGTGAATAAGGACAATGCAGATCAAAACGTCAGCGAGACGCTATTTGTTATTCAACCATTAAATGAACACAAATCGATTGATCCTATCAAATTTCAGCAAGGGTGCTGGCATATATGTACTCCATTTCTACGCAAGTGTAAATTGATACAGCCTTTTTGGAGGCCTGTTTTGGCAGTAGCTGTTAAATTTTTAAATGCCGTTGACACCAAAGACCATTCTCTGTGGAGTATTAGGCCAAGCCATATTAAGTTGTCGTTTTTGTAGGTCAAAACTGGCCTAATTTCCGCAATTGCGCGGGGCTCAACCCAATAACGGAGCGGGTCAGGGCGGAGTGGGATGAGCTGGGAAGAGTCTGAACACTCATTGGGCTCAGGAAGTGTCAATCATCAGTGTTCAATGAATGGAGACCCTGGAGCTGGGCGGGGCCTTCACAGCCTAAGGGCCTCGGTTGGTGCGACCGGGTGGAGGAGGGGTCAGACTGCCCCTC